TCGAATCTGCTGGTATAAAAAATGGTATCGGCAACATGTTGCTTAATCGAAACGATTGGTTGATTGTTCCACGCAAACATTATTCCATATACGAAGTGTGCTGTAATTGTAAATGTACATTCGGATCGTTCGAACGCGTCGTCTTTCTCAATCTACCGACGATGACAAGAATTTCAGCTTGTGTTGGATCTCTGGTTGAATATAGGAAAAAAATCATGATCGCTCTTTTGCTATGCTGACCTCTCCTCGAGCGTTCTTGACGTCGGAAAATGACACCGACATGTATGACATACAGAGGGATGTGCGCGCGTATACACGCAAAAAAAGAAAAAAAGAAGTTATTTGTTGTGTTCTGTGAGCGTCGATAAAGTTCAATCCAACCTTGGACCGAGTATGTGGCATGTTCCTTCGTACAAAAAAGTAAAAAGGTGCACAGTGTACTAATGAAGTGCGAACAAACGTGCCAAACGGGTAGATAGATTTCAAATTAAATTGAGGATCAAGTAGTGCCCATTTGGAACGTTTTATTCACACTGCATATTCGATATGTGAGTACTATTTATACGACAAAAATATTTCGAGTTTTTCTGACAAAAAAAAAAAAAAATAAAATAAAATAAAATAAAATAAATAAAAAATTGAACGAACGAACGAACGAATATCTAGTGAGATCGGCAAACACAATGCGAAAGGAATGATATATTGTATTGGTAAACAACATATAAGCTTTCGGCAGTGCATGACGTCCAATCAACGTGCATTATTAACAATAATACTAAAATCAAGGAACGGCCAAGTGGAGCGTGCGATTAGTGAAGGAAATACTTGGAAAAGAAATTTGGAAGCGTGTATTCGCAAGAAAGTACTTGAGCCACATAATTCGTTGCGTGGGTCCCGAAATACAAGGGGTACTAGTTGTATATTTAGTTCTAAACTATTAGGAGTAGTGCAGACATAATGTAGACAAGAAACATGAGGAAGAGAAGGAAGAGAAAACTATAAGGCCACGAGTGTACGATCGATCGGTGCACACTCAACACACACCCATATATATAATACTTACGTAGGCATTTGCCGAGACTTCGTGTAACAACGCTTAATTGATTAAGGCCGATTTTTCAAACGATATACTCTACTGTCCGCTATTACATTTTTCCTACCATTGTTCCTCCCTCGTCTAGATAAGCGCCTCTCCGTTTTCCCTATGTCCATTTGCCGAAAAACCTGCCCAAGAAAGTGCTAGACCATTTGATTCGATGTGGTACTAAATTATTTTGATGAACAATAAAAACAAAAGTTCTCATTCAGTTTAACATGGTTCTGCTGTATTACCTGTGTGTTTCGTCGTCGTTCGTGCATCGTCGTTGTTTGCCATCTTTCGATCCATTGATAATAAAAGAATCTTGTAGTAATCACGAACATTGGAAGTTCTGTTTCTGTTTGGGAGCAACTATCCTTGTTTGAAACGAACCGGTGAAATTATGGAGATTCTTCCGTAAAAAAAAAAAAAAA